GCTTGCCAAAAGGCTGAAGGGTAGTGCCCCCCCTGCCAGTGTCCCAGGCACAGAGGTGGCATCAGTGCCAGGCTGTGGTGCCGCCCCAACTGGCACAATGACCCAGCCCTCCTTCCCCAGACAATGCCACTGACAAAGACCTGGCTGATCTCATATCTGAGATGGAGATGATGAAGCTCATGGACAAGCACAAGAACATCATCAACCTCCTGGGAGTCTGCACGCAGGATGGTGAGAGGGCTGTGCAGGCAGGGCTTGGGCAGGGAATGGGCATGGAACGGGAGCAGGGGCTGGGGCTGGTGGGGACAGTGACAGGTGGGACGCTGGGGTGGGACAGGGCAGGGCAGGGGCTGAGCAGAGTGGACACCTTTTCCAGGGCCGCTGTACGTGATTGTGGAGTTTGCTGCGAAGGGCAACCTGCGCGAATACCTCCGTGCCCGCCGCCCCCCGACACCTGATTACGCTTTTGATGTCACGGTGATGCCCGAGGAGCAGCTGTCCTTCAAGGACCTGGTCTCTTGTGTCTACCAGGTGGCCCGTGGCATGGAGTACCTGGAGTCCAAACGGGTAGGGCTGGCACAGCCTGCACAGGCTGCCAGTGCTGGGCACAGCCTGGGAGAGGGGTATGGTGGTGATGGAGGAGCTGTGAGTCCCTGGTGAACCCACTGTCCCCATGGAGAGGGAGCGTGGCCCGTTCCGCAGAGCTGTCCAGAAGCTCCTGGCCACATCCAGCAAAGCTCAGGGCAGTATCTTCCCCAAAAATGTGGGGCTTAAAGCCTGACCCACCTCCTGGGTGTGCCCCCACGCTGTGCCTGTCACTGCAGGTGGGGTGTGACCCCACCACCGCAGAGGTGCCAGCAGGGCCAGCAGTGCCGGGGGTGCATGGGAGGAGAGTGGCAACTCTGGGTGTGGGGAGGAGACACACACTGCCGTCTCGCACTCCCTGAGGGTGACGCTGCCCCCCTGCAGTGCATCCACCGTGACCTGGCTGCCCGCAACGTGCTGGTCACGGCAGAGAGCGTGATGAAGATCGCGGACTTCGGCTTAGCCAGAGATGTCCACGATATCGACTACTACAAGAAAACCAGCAATGTGAGTGGGGGTCCTGCAAGGGGAGTGGGGACAGAGAACCCCCTGGCCAGGGCTGAGCAGGGGGTTTGCTCCTGCAGGGCCGCCTGCCAGTGAGGCCCCCGAGGCCCTGTTTGACCGCGTCTACACCCACCAGAGTGATGTGTGAGTGCCGGGGCCACGGGCGGCTGAGGGTGCTGTCGGATGTGGGACGAGACAGCGCTGTGGGGTTATGCACGTCCTGGAAGCTCCCCGTGAGCAGGACAGGGGTACTCTATGGGCACAGCAGCAGCAGGGCACCTCTTCCCCAGGGGTGATGCCACCCTCTCCCAGCCCTGCTCCCATGGCACCACAGGGTGCGGTGGGGTGAGCCGGGGCCCCACCTGCCCAGGGAGGGTCCTAGGATGTGGCTGACCCCCCCTTTGCTGCACATGGTGGCAGGTGGTCCTTCGGGATCCTGATGTGGGAGATCTTCACACTGGGGGGCTCCCCCTACCCCGGCATCCCTGTCGAGGAGCTCTTCAAGCTACTGAAGGAGGGGCACCGCATGGACCGGCCGTCCAACTGCACCCACGAGCTGTGAGTATTGGCTAGGCAAGGTGGGCAGGGGGCACAGAGAGACCCTGCTAACACCCCCTTGCCCCCCCCAGGTACATGCTGATGCGGGAGTGCTGGCATGCCGTGCCCTCGCAGCGACCCACCTTCAAGCAGCTTGTGGAGGGGCTGGACAAGGTCCTGGCAGCTGTTTCAGAGGAGGTG